CGGAGAGGCAGGCAGAGAGAAAGGGGGAAGCAGGCTCCCCGGTGAGCAGAGAGCCCGATGTGGGGCTCGATCCCAGGACCCTGGGATCACGACCTGAGCCAAAGGCAGAGGCTTTAACCCACTGAGCCACCCAGGCGCCCCTCCCTATTTTTTTTTTTTAGATTTTATTTATTTGTTTATTTATCAGAGAGAGCACAAGCAGGGGAAGAGGCAGGGTGGCAGGCAGAGGAAGAGAGAGAAGCAGGCTCTCTGCTGAGCAAGGAGCCCGATGAGGAACTCGATCCCAGGACCCTGGGATTGTGACCTGAGTTGAAGGCAGCCGTTTAACTGACTGAGCCACCCAGGTGTCCCTAAATCCCTATTTTTTTTTGTCAGCCTGTGAGCTAAGAATGGTTTTGACATAAACATTTTAGTGGAATCCAGCAACACAATTATATATTGTTCATGGCTTCTTTCAAGCAATGACCACAGAATTGAGTAGTTGTCACAGAGACCGTGTGGCCTGCAGTGGTCCAAAACATTTCCTCTCTGGCCCTTTACCGAAAACATTTGCCAGCTCCTGCTATAGAGTGTTTTTCTGATTCAGCAGCTCCGAGCAAGATGGGGTGTGTTCTTTGCAGGTCAGTAAGGGATTTCTATACCCCAGATGGCTTTAGGGTAGACAAGGAGCCTGGGCTTCCTGCGGTGCTGGAACCCGACGGGCCCCACGCGCATGCTCAGCTTGGGCCACCAGCCTGGCTGCCTGCTGGGGGCGGGAGGCAAGCGGTAGGTGAGCCCCTGCAGGCAGGAGAGCAGGATTCAAACCCCGAGTTGCCCTATGACCACGCTTCACTGCCTCAGGCTGCCCGGAACACCAGCGTTTTGCTAAAGTGTGTAAGGATGCTCTCCGAGGCATCAACTTAGATGTGTCAGGCCCCCACCCACTTACCCAGAGGCCCCGTGGTAAAGAATTTAAAATTTTGCTGGGGCTTGGGGCCCCTCCCACTGGAGGTCCCTCCCTCTCCCCACCCCAGCCCCAGGCGACCTGAGAGGGTGGTGTGCATGGGCAAGCCTGAGCACCCACCCTAGCTCGCGCCCAGGCAGGAGCTGCTCCCTCTCCCTCCTACCTCACTTCCGCAGAGTGGGGAGAGGCCCCTTCTGTCCAGCCCCGGGATGTGGGAATGTGCCAGGCGAGAGCTGATTGGAGAGTGGGATGGTTCAGAGTGAGCACGTCCACTGCCCCAGGGAGTTCACGGGAAATTCCTCAGGTTTTTTTTCCAGTACAAAGAAGGACACTTTTATTTATTTATTTATTTTATTCATTTATTTGACAGACAGAGATCACAAGTAGGCAGAGAGGCAGGCAGAGAGAGAGGAGGAAGCAGGGTCCCTGCTGAGCAGAGAGCCCAATGCGGGGCTCGATCCCAGGACTCTGAGATCATCACCTGAGCTGAAGGCAGAGGCTTAACCCACTGAGCCACCCAGGCACCCCAAGAAGGACACTTTTAAAAGCTCCGTTTACATGTATGATTGTCATTCTGATGGTGGCTGGCTTGGCATCGCGAAATCCATGGCTTTGGCGGAAACAGCCTGCCCCAGAGGGTAGGTTCCTGGTAGAGCTGACACTCATGGAGGGCCCAGAGATGCCTTCCCTGAGTGGCACCCCCAAGGTGGCCTGTGGAGCGGATGTTGGGAACTTGGGGCATGACCATTAAGGACACAGGCCCTGGAGCCAGACTGGTTGGGTTTGGATCCCAGCTCTGCCACCTACAAGCTGGGTGACATCAGGGAAGTGACTTACCCTCTCTGGGCCTTAGTCTTCTCCTCCATAAAATGGGGACAGTGAGGAACCTTCCTCATAGGGTGTGGTGGGGACGTAATGAATCGATTCAGGTGAAGAACGTGAGCCTGACTGACATGGCCAGTGCTCTTCTGATTTCCGGGCGAGGGCATGACGCCCAGACCAAGTGGCCACCCGCAAGTCACTTGCTTTCTGACTTTTTTGGACCTGGCGTTTGTCAAGTGTGGTGGTTGTGCGCTTTCTTAAAAGCTAGTGAAGGGGGGCTGCCTGGGTGGCTCAGTGGGTTAAACCTCTGCCTTCAGCTCAGGTCCTGATCTCAGGGTTCTGGGATCGAGTCCCACATCAGGCTCTCTGCTAGGCAGGGAGCCTGCTTCCTCCTCTCTCTCTCTCTCTCTCTGCTTGTGATCTCTCTCTCTGTCAAATAAATAAAATCTTTAAAAAAAAAAAAAAAAAGGCTAGTGAAGGAGAACAGCTGACGTTCCTTGAGCCCTTAAGTGGCCAGGAGGGTGTGCCCGTTGCAGGACCTCTGGCAAGTTCCTAACCTCCAGGTGCCTCCACTTCTTCCTCTGTAGCATGGGTGGGGGAGTGGGGGACGGGACTTTGCAGCCACCTCACTGGGAAGCTGGGAGGTTTCAGGATGTCAAAGGGGTCAGAACCTGGTTCTCTCCTTGTCTCATCTGTTATTGGGGTAGTCCTGGGAGACGGGGACTGCCCCCATTTATTTAATTTAATTTATTTTTTTATTCTTTAAGATTTATTGGAGGAGCATGAGTGGGGGGCAGAGGAAGAGGGAGCCTGGGATCATGACCTGAGCCAAAGGCAGACATTTAACCCCCTAACCGTGTGAGCCACCCACGTGCCCCTCTTTTTTTTTTTTTTTTAGATTTTATTTTATTAGAGCGTGAGCTGGGAAAGAGGCAGATGGAGAGGGGGAGGCAGACTCCACACTAAGCAGGGAGCCCCATGCAGGGCTAGAGCTGAAGGCAGACGCCCAACTGACTGAGCCACCCCTGCCCCCATTTCATAGGAAGACACTGAGGCCCCAGTAGGAAGGGCCCAAGGTGGGGCATCTGGATGGCCCCGCAGGGGGGCTCCTACTCAGCATGCCCCACCCCCTGCCCAAGAGCACGCATTCTCTTCCTCTTTCTCTCTCAAATAAATAAATAGAATCTTAAAATAAAGGCGGGGGCTAAAATCACAAAGCAGGAAATTAAACTGGTTGAGGTGGGGCCCTGCCTCTGCCCCGCCCCCACACCCCACTGAACTGGAAAAGTGCTCCGTGGGTGGGCGTGTCCTTGTTAAGGGTGTTTCTGTTCCTGACTCTTCCAGCCTGTATCCCTAGCCCTGATTTTTTTTTTTAAGATTTTAATTATTTATTTGACAGACAGAGATCACAGGTAGGCAGAGAGGCAGGCAGAGAGAGAGGAGGAAGCAGGCTCCCCGCTGAGACGCGGGGCTGGATCCCAGGACCCTGAGATCACGACCTGAGCCGAAGGCAGAGGCTTTAACCCACTGAGCCACCCAGGCGCCCCTCTTTTTTTTTTTTTTTTTTTTTAATATTTTATTTATTTATTTGACACGGAGATCACAAGTAGGCAGAGAGGCAGGCAGAGAGAGAAAGGGGGAAGCAGGCTCCCCGGTGAGCAGAGAGCCCCATGTGGGGCTCGATCCCAGGAACCTGGGATCATGACCTGAGCTGAAGGCAGAGGCCCAACCCACTGAGCCACCCAGGTGCCCCCCTAGTCCTGATTTCTGATTTAGCTTCCTGTTCTCCACTTCCACCTCACTCCTCAGAGGCCTCACGGTGTTCCTGCCTGACCTCAGGCCTGGACTTCAGTAAAGCTCAGAACAGCCAGGAGCTTGGACCACCCTCTTAGCTTAGGCCTTTCTGGATCCAGTACCCTCTTCCCTTCTTAGCTTTCTTAGTCCCGTCTCTGGAGCTGGGCCCCTTGGAGGCCCTATGGCCCCTGAAAGTGACCCGCAGGGCTTTGCGTAAGGTCCTTTGGGAGAGGCTGAGACACCATTTTGCCGTGGCTTCTGAGCCTAAATCTTACTTCCTCCAAAATGCCTTTCCTGACAGATGGGCCTTGCCGGGGGCCCTGAGCACCTTCCCCTGCATCACTTCCCTGCTGGCTTTCACAGTACTAGGTAGCTCTGGGTTTTTGCTCCTGGGACTGGTTCTAGGTCTTTGTTGGTCTAGATTTGGGGGTGGGGTTGGCATGAGCGGAGGAATGGCACACAATACACAGGTCAGACAGACTAAGAACACAGGAGAGGTGACCATGAAAGACAACCTGTCATGTACTTCGTTTCCAGAGCACTTTCACATTGTTTTATGTGACCTTTCCACTGCCACTGGTAGTCAGGGACAGGTCTACCCCCACACAGGTGAGCACACTGGCTCAGAGCTGAAGGGTGGTCTGATAAGGGAAGAGGTGTAGCTCATTGGTCGATCACTGGGCTCTGGAAGTCTAGAGACTTCCAACCTGAGAGCATCATACTGTGTGAATGTGGACAAGTCTCCACTCTCTAAGCCTCTGTCTTCTCGTCTGTAAAATGGAGGCCGTGTTAGGACTCACTTCTTAGGCTGGTTGGGAGCATGAGGGAATTCCCAGGGCTGGCACATAGTAAGTGCTCCATAATCATTACCTTAAAAAAAGTCAGCAGACCCTTCCAGACTCTTCTCCAAAGCAGGTGTCTTGGGAGGTACAGACGTGCTGCTGACAGGTCCTTGCTCTCCAGGGCCCAAGGTCTCCCTAGGCCACAACAGTGAAACAAATGGGCCCCAGCAGGTCATTTGCAGAGCTGGAGTTCAGCCCTGCCTCAGGCGGGAGATCTCATCCAAGTGATTGATTTCCTCCAAGGACTGCCCTGAGGCCCCGTGGGCTTGCGCTGATAGCTTTGCGACTTATGACCTTATTTTATGGCACGGACAGCAGCAGAGGTCATCTAATACACTAAGGGCCTGGCCCATTATTGGGGCTCAATTAAGATTTATGGGATTAATGAGAAGTTAATGTGAATCTTCACAAAAGCCCCACGAGCTTCCCTCGCTTTACGTATGAAGGAACTGAACTGGGGCTCGGAGGTACTTTGAGGCACCTGCCAAGCTACTGTGCACCCAGGGACACCAGCGGGCGGGGGAGCTGGTGCCGAGGGCTTTGGCAAAGCCGGAGGCGCAGATGAGTGGGGACTCATGCCACCCCCGTCCCCTGTGCAGGCGCTGGGGCTGTGGAGACGCGGAGTCGCCACAGCTCGTACCCCGCGGGGACCGAGGAAGATGAGGAGATGGAGGAGGAAGAGCTTAGCCCTTTCCGGGGGCGCTCGCAGTCAGCGCCCCCCAACCTCTGTGCTGCACTGCGTTATGGCCGCGAGCTCCGGAGGATGAGCGACGAGTTCCAGGGCTCCTTCAAGGTGAGCGCCGGCCCCAAAGCATGTCGGGATCTGTAGTTCGGGGAACACCACCCCCTCCCCCCGCCCCGGCCCCGGGCCACTCTTCCTGCGTCCCAGGGCCTGCCGGTATCTGTAGTCCAGACCGAGCGTCAGAAGGCCAAAGCGCCTGAGTTTCCGGAATGCTCGGGGCGCGAGGCATGCTGGTATTTGTGCTCCCGATCAGCCCCTTTCGGATATCCGGGTTCTTTGGCCTCAAGTTCAGAATTACTTAGTGCTTGAATTGCCGTTCCGGCTTCGAGGCTAGGTTTCGGGCTCTGATACTCACAAGGTCCTAAGCGTTCTCTCCCAGCGCCCCTGGCAGGGTGCGTCTGGGATCTAACCAGTCCCATTTCTAAGGGCCCAAGCGACCCTTGGAGCTTCCGTAAGTGGTCAGGAGGCCACTCGTACGGGGCATGCGGGGAGTTATGGTTTAGGGCCCCCGGGCATCTCAGCGGTGGGATTCCGGAGGTGGAGAGCTCCGTCTTGGGCTGCCACGACAGGCTAACTCATTTAACCCTCTCTTCCCACCCGAAGGGACTTCCTCGCCCGAAGAGTGCGGGCACAGCCACGCAGATGCGACAAAGCCCCAGTTGGACGCGCGTCATCCAGTCCTGGTGGGATCGGAACTTGGGGAGAGGAGGCTCCGCCCCCTCCCAATGACCAGTCCCACAGCCCGAAACCCCCCCCTTTCTCGGCGCCGCCGGCGGCCATCTTGGGTGTGGGCGGAAGTCTTTTCCGCAGCCTTTATGCAAGAAAGAGGATCAGTCCTTTCCTTTTCGAAGGAGGCGATCTGACCCAAAGCCCGATTTCCTTCCGGTGTGTACGAAGAGCACAGAGGGGTTTGTCCCCGTCGGAAGTTTTGAAGTTTTATCCGCTCTTAGCCGCCGGAAGTGGCCCTGTGACCCCGCCCCCGGCGCTGGGCTACCCCCATCGTCTGCAAGTTGCAATTCGGCGAAATCCTGACTTCTCACCAGAACCCTTTCCTCCGCGGTGTCGCTGGGGGGCCATCGCTTGCAGCGACATGTGCTTAATAAAGCCCGCGTTTGTGCCGCCGAGTCTCCTCTCTCCGTCGCTTGGGGCTTCGCAGGCAGGGGCAGAGCTAGCACTGACAGTTTGAAAAGATGTCCTCGCTTTACACATAAGGGAAACTGAGGCTCTTTTTGAGCGACTTACTCTGGAACCGAGACCGGGAACGGGTCCAGGCGGCGACCAGAGAGCCAGGGCTGCTTGGCCTCCGGAAAGCGGAGCGCAGCCGGGCCTTGGGACCTGCAGGTCCTTATCTCTAATATGGTAATTGGGAACTGCAGGCCGGCCGGCCGCCGGAATTCCGCACTCTGTAAACCGTGCCGCCGGCCCCCAGGGAGGGTCATTTGTTCCTATTTGGGTCAGTCCTTTCAAACAGCTACTGTGTGGCCGGCCTGGGGCCAGCTCTGTTAAGGGAACTGGCAGGACGCTCAGAGCGGGGGAGGGGGGCAACGGAAGGTTGGGCCCAGGGTTGTGAGTGGACTGGTCACAGGAGAACTGGAGCTTCACCAGGACTTGGGAGCGGAGCTCGGAGCTCAATTCCAGGAAGATTTACTGGCGCCCCCTATAGACCAGCCAGCGCTTGGTACAGGGTGTAGAGAGCTGAATTACGCCACAGCTCCTCAAGCTTCCTGGCAGGGGGGGGTACCAGGTTCTCAGAGTGGAATTACCGCCAGCCAGTGCTATAATAGGGACTCAGAACCGGGGTGAGGGCGGCTCCCTCCCGCAAGGGAAAAGTCCGGGAAGGCTTCAGGGAGGAGGTGAGTTAGCGCTGGGAATTGAAGAGCGATATGGAAGAGGGAGCTGTCATTCCCTGTAAAGAGTGGACCCATGGAAGGATGGGAGGGGGAAGCAGCAGAGGCCAGGATTCTGAGGGGGCTGGAATGTCATCCCGGGGAGTTTGGAGTTTAGCTTGGACTTTGAGGACCCAGGGACTGACATGGAGTGTTTCTACATGTGGCGGCAAGCCAAATTAGGAAGAGAAGCCTTGGTGGCTGAGTGGCTGGCCACAGAATAGAGTAGGCCAGTTTGGAGACAGGACCAGGCCTGACCACAGAAGCAAGGAGGGTTGGGGCCACGTATTAACCCTGAGGGAACAGGGCAAAGGGGAGAGGCCCCCAGCCCACTGCAGGGCTGGCCCTTTCTCTATCACCTCCCCACCCGGTCTGTTTGCCTGAGGCTGCAGCAAAAACAAAGAAAGAAAACACTCAATTGGCAGGAGATAAGCCCAGATGAGAGGCGCCTTCCTCTGGAGGAGGGAGGCGTTAGCCGGGAAGCGCCAGGAAGCCGGGAGAGGCCTTGAAGAAGTGCCAGCCTGAGCTCCTGCGCCTGCAGCAGAACCTAGCCGCACCCTCACTGCAGGGTCTGTGCCACTCCACGCTGGCTGTCCCAAGGCCAAAACAGTCTGTCACAGAGGGTCCAGGCCCGCCCTGCCTCCGGGTCAGGACATCCTGACTAGGCTGTGGCCTGGCACCTGTGACTTCTGCTCTGGGCCTCAGTTAACCTCATCTGTAAGACAGGCGTAACATCTACCTCACAGGGATGAGGGGGATGCTGGGTCTCCCAGTCCCTGTGAGCATCTGTGATGGCCAGCTTCCCTTCTCCCAAGGGTCACCACCAGGGCCCCCCATATGTATCACTGTGAGCCCAGGCAAATTTGGAGCAGACCAGGTCCATCCCCAATTAGAGTCGACTGCCTGTGAGGGGCCCAGAGCAGCCTCGGCGGAAGATGCTGGGTGCTTGGGTCATTATCAGGCCACAGGAAGGGGGGGCAGGGAAAGCTTCCTGAAGCAGAGGCCTGAGCCTCTGTGAAGGGAGGACTAGAAGAGCCCAGGAGGGAGAAAAGTAATGTGAGTGGAGGTTGGGAGGGGGGCAAGAAGCAATGGGTCAGGGACAGAGGCCATAAAGGGGAGTCCCTCCTGGGGGAGGCCACCGGATGTCAGGTCATTGGGAGGATCTGCAAGGACCCAAGCAAGGAGGTCTCAAGGTTGAAAGCTAGCAGCCCTCCCCTGTGGGCCTAACCTCAACCCCACAATGCCCACCAGCCCATTTTATAGATGAGGAAACCAAAGCCCCCAGAAGAACAGCAAAGCCAGGCCCAGGGCCCAGGGTCCTCTCCAGAACTGCCCCACCCCAAACCACATGGCACACAGGGTCCCTGAAATCCACTTTTATTCATGTAAAAAAAAAAAAAAAAAATTCCCAAAGAATAGAGAAAGCATATGACCCCCTACTTCCCAGAGCTCAAAGTCTCTGCCAGTGTTCCCCGGGGAAGTGAGGGAGTCAGCTCCCACTCTGGGGTGTGGGTAGCATGGGAGGGCAAAACCCGGGTGACCCACAGTGACCCAGCACCCTCCTTAGGACTGAAGGCAGGAAGGAGGGGCTGGGGACTAATGGGGCCCCAGAAGGGTGAAAGTAGGGAGTTAGTGTGGGGTGCTCGCCCCAGTTTAAAAAAATAAAATTTCTAAAGATAGAAAGTTAAAAAAAAAAAAAAAAAAAAGCATTAGTGTCTTAGCTTCCTGCCCTCCCAGCACCCCTCCTGCGGCCACCTCTCGCGCTCGTCCAGTTCAGAGCTTCGTATTCTCCTCTTGGCTCTCCGAGTCAGCGCCGGACAGGTGCCCGCTGCTTCCAGGTGCGTGACCATTACTGGCACAGGCCACCAGATGCCCGTCCCCCAGCTCCTCCGGCGTCTCGCCCAGCAGGCTCCGGTGGATCTCCTGGGGCAGACTCGCCCGCTGCTCCTGACACTCCTGGGCCAGCTGGGCTAGCAGCTGAGGGAGGAGGGGTGTCACACAGGCGGCGCCTGGTCCCCCCAGCACTCCAACCTCCAGGCATTCTGACCGCCCGCCACCCCCCACAGGCCTCACCTTGGGCTCCTCTTCTGCCAGCTGCTGTAGGACCTGCTGCTGCCCAGCCACAAGGCGCTCATGCCGCTGCTTCTGGGCCTCCTCCAGCTGCAGGGGGAGTAGGGATGAGGGCTCAACCAAGGGTCTCTAAGGCAGGGGCAGGGGCCAGGCAGGTGCAGGCTCCCAGGGCTGAGGGGCCGGGGTTCTGAGGTGACCCTTATAGCAAAGGTTCCAGACCCAAAGACTCCAAAGCCGTGGGACACCTTTGCAGACAGTTGACTCTGGATGTATCGGGGCAAGACAGAGCCCAGAGGAAAAGGTTCTAGAAGTCCCTCTAGGGCAATATAGCCATAGGCCAGGCACAAGGAGACAAGTTTCTTTTTTCCTTTTTTTTTTTTTTTTTAAGATTTTATTTATTTATTAGAGAGAGAGAGAGAGATAGCAAGCCCGTGTGCGACACAGCACAAGCAGTAGAGGGAGAAGCTGGCTGCCCATCTAGCAGAGAGCCCAACGCAGGGCCCGATCCCAGGCCCTGGGGATCATGACCCAAGCTGAACGCAGCCGCCTAACCAACTGTGCCACACAGGCACCCCAGGACACAAGCTTCTCGGGACTGCAGGAAGAGAGGGGTGGGCTGGGGCCAAGGTGGGGCCCAAGCCTCACTCACCCGACGGATGGAGTTGACCGACTCGGTGATGTGCCGGCGGTTAATCTCTGTCAGTTCCCTGCAGGGAGCGATGCAGAGGGGGCTTGGTGCCCGGCCCCCGGCCCTGCCTGCCCAGCCCCCAGCAGCTGCCAGCCCCCCAGCGGCTCCTGGCCCCAGGGCCCTTACGCCTCCTTCTTATGTTTCTCCCTTGTCTTGGCCTCTGAGATACTGTTATGACGCTTCCTGTCCAGAATCTTCTGCAGTTCCTTCTTCTCCCTGGAAGAGCAGGGCGGGAGGCGAAGAAAGGATCAATGGCAGGTCTGGGGATCTCCTCTCCTCTCTGAGAACAAGCGAGGCCCCTGCCCCACCCCCGACAAGATCTTCTGCCTTCACCTCTCGTTCATCTCCTTCAGCCTCTTGATCTGAGTTGTGTGAGCTTCCAGGACAATCTCCCTGAGCCGCTGCTGAGCCTGTGGACACAGGCGGCCAACGGGTAACCCAGGCTGACGCCAGGTGTGTCCAGGAGGCAGGCCATCCCCTGTGGCCACTGGCCCACCTCACCTGTCTCAGGTGCTCCAGCTGCCGCTCAGCCTCTGTGTCGGCCTGGGCCTCCCTCAGCTCCAGGAGACTCTGCACCTGTCTCTTCTGGAATTCCTGATACCGCTTCGCCTCTTCCTCCTCCTCCTTCTCGTTCTCCCCACCTCTGTAGGAAGAACCCGACTGGGTGATCCTCAGGTTGTCATATGGACTCGGGCTGGGAGGGCAGCGGCGGGCAGGGCAGATCCCAACAGGCAACGGCAGACACCAGCTGGGGCGGGGTGGGGGTGGGGGGCAGGGTCTGTGATGCCAACGACAAGTCCATTAGCCCCATGCAAATGTGGGAGCCTGTAGGGCAAGAGCTTCTGGAAAGAGAGGCTGCTCGTGGGGGACTCCAGCAGAGGCCTGGCTCCCTGGCAGAGAGGGCAGGGCCCACGTGGGACGGCTCCTCGATCTCCCTGGCACCAAACCTTGACTCCTTGTAGGGGGGTCAAGGGGCAGCCCTCGGCCATGCCGCCACGCTCCGCCCACCCCGCCGAGTGAAAACCCCCACATGCACACACACCCTCGTAGTCACAGCAGGGCACACCACCCACGGGCATGCGGGACACTCACAGGACACCCGGCCGTGGGCGGCACCTGCCCTCCGCCCGGGCCTGGGCCAGGCCGCCGAGCAGCCGGCGTGTGAGGGCGACGGCCTTGCGCTGGTGCTTCTTGCGCAGCTCCCGCAGCTCTCGCTCCTGCCGGCCCCGGAGCTTCACCAACGCCTTGTGGCCTCGGAGCTCGTCCAGCGAGGCCGGGGCCACCTCTGAGCAACAGAGCACGGGTGGGCTGGGCGGGGGCTGGCGGGCCCCAGGGAGCACCCCACTCCCCTCCCGCACAGCCCTGCCCCGCACCTGAGAGGAGGCTGGCGATGAGGTCATCCCGCTGGCCTGCAGAGAGGAGGCAGGGTTGTGAGGAGCTGGGGGGGGCGGTGTACGGAGCGGGGGAGCACGACGGGGCT